GAGGAGCGTAACACTGTTCCATCCAACAACCGGACATTAGTGCATGAGGAATCCCTAACTGGCACTTCATTCACTGATGAAGTTCATTGTTCTGCAGTCCTGCAGGAGATGCACACTTTTAAGGTATCTATAAACTAAAAGAAATAATAAGTTGATATGTAATGCAGTGATATGTGCTAAATTGCCCTAAGGTCTAATTACCTGCATATGTCTGTGTGTGATGATTGTCTTTGTACTCAGGCGCTGGAGGGTGGATGTGTGTTGGATTTGTGTTTGGTACGATGGCCATCGGAGGACTGGAGCATATGTGTGGCAGGAGAATGGAGCGTTTGCCTTTGGGCTCAGATGAAGGGAGTTCAGTCGTGGAGGCTTTTACACACCTGGACATTTGCACAGGTAAACCAATTTGCTACAGCACTTCAGCATAAATGACAGCAAGCTGACAATTCTTTGGGTTTATGTAGTAGTTTAAAAGGTTAGTTCCCCCCAAAACAATTCTGTCATAATTTATTCATTCTCATGTTGTTCCAAACCTTTAAGACTTTGGTTAATCTTCGAGACATGAATTGAGCTATATCTAAAAAGTTATATATTAGATATATAAAATATGTCCCTCTGATTTGACTTCTGTGTTTGTATCTGTAGTCCGTCATGTCTTTGCAAGGGATACCAGACTCTTCGGGACTGCTTTGTGTCAGTCTGGGTCACTTGGAAATCACAGAGGCAAGGTAATAAAAATGGTATAATACAAAACAGCAAAATTACTATTGGGTAAACCAAAATGATGCTATTTTCGACTCCCTTTATCACAATTTTTTATTTTTTTTCAAAATCATCCCATTCTGAACTGAAACCCTAGGGGCACTGCGCTCAGGCATCTTCAAGATGTTTTTTGTGTTGTAGAACTCAGTAAACGCCAATCTAATTCCCTGTGTGTTCTTGAGTGCAGGATGCTTTGCTGTCCAAGTATGGATGGGCCGTTCTCTCAGAACGCAGTGTGCAAGGACACGTTACAAGCAGTGTTGGGTGTGTCTAATTTTCGGCTTGTGTGTTGCTCCACCCCTGGAGATCAACAAAGAGTCAGTGTGTTAACAGTGACTCAAGATGGAAGGTAATAAACCATCATGTGCATGTTAAACACCTGTGTCTATTAAACCTTTTTTATGTATTGTTCACTTGAAATATTTAAGCAAAACTATTTATTATTTACTTGCTGTATTCAGGTTAAAGAACACTCTTCCCCTGGCCTCTGCTAAGCAGAACATTCGGACCCTTGCAGCTGTCGAGGGTGAAAAAGATGCTCTGATTGGTTGGACAGAATGTAAAACTCTCCTTATATGGTGATGAATTTGGCAATATTGAGTCTTAAACATCTTTGAAAGTCTTTTTTATTAGGAAACTTTTTTAACTGTATCCATCCTGTACATTGGGATATAATTAAAGGGTAATGAAACCCCATTTCAGTACTGGTTAGTTCTCTCCACAGTTTTAAAAAACGCTAAAAAAGTGGGCATGGTGCACTGAAAGTGGAAGGGGAAGAGGGGAGACAGACAACATACACAGCTTTGGGTTCAGACACTTTCATTTAGTTCCCAACGAGTTAAAAACACAAATAAATGCACAGCCATTTGCACTCTGCATCGAAAACATACTTGAACGTGCTGTTGCACTTCTGATAACTTTTAAGGATTATTGTGCGGTGTTTATATAAGCCTTTTGATGGGTTGTGTCGAGGAGCTGTAAAAACGGTTACACTCACTAAGGCTGATGATACACTGGGCAACTTTTTGAGCAATGTTGCCGCCAACGGGCAACCAGATGAGACACAGGGCCCATGATGCAAAGTATTCAGATAGACATTTGTTATCCATTTTCAATGTGAAAGTGCCCAAGCAACATTGCTGAAAAAAAGTTGCCCTGCAAGATTGCTCAAAAAGTTGCCCCGTGTATCATCAGCCTAAGTGAATGAATCGCGTTTGTGCCGAACTCTTATTACAAAGCAAAAACAAACACTCTCCTCCGATCCATGAACGTTTCTCTCAGTTAATGTGCACGATCTCACGGTCTGAAGCGTCTGTCATAGCAAATCAACACATGCTGTTGTGAATAATTAAGCGAAGCATCTTCTCATTGGATAAGAACATGCAGTCTCATGAATAATTTAATAGACACTGACATTTAATAGTACATCATCGATGTACTATAGTCCTTTACCACGTCACAAATTGTGACGTCAACATGATGAAAATAGAGCAAAAAAAGCTTAAAATGAACAAGTTTTCTCCAACAGTTAAAATTATCGGATGCTAACATTGTCTTCTATGATGTGCAAAACAAACACCTCTGCTAGAATCTCAGAAAAAGTAGTCTGGGGTTTCATGACCCTTTATTTATACATTGTGTCACTAAATTGATGCAAACTGCAGAAATAGCAGTATTTCTATTACTAATAAGGGAGTAATTCACCCAAAAATTTAAATTGGCGGAAAATGTACTCACCCCTCAGGCCATCCAAGTGTTTTTTTTTTTTTTTATTGGAACAGATGTGAAAAAAATTTGCATTACATGGACTCTTTTCGCTTGTAAACAGTGCTTGCTTGAGCTGTGCATATTTCTCTCCTGATTCAGATGAGAATAGAGAAAGATTAAGGATAGAGGACTCATATTTTAGCCCAAAGTAACATCGTGAGAAACATTTTAATAGATTTGTTTAATACAAACACGCAACTTTTCACTGACGTTAATTAAGTCATGAGGATTACCTGTGGATTATTGTGATGTTTTAATCAGCTGTTTGGACTCTCATTCTGACGGCACCCATTCACTGCAGATGATCCATAGCAGGGTTGCCAGGTTTTCACAACAAAACCCGCCCAATTGCTACTCAAAACTAGCCCAAAACCAGCCCAATAGCGTTTCGAGGGGGTCCCTCAGTAAATATCGTGTTCCAGGGGGGTCAAATACACGTTTCTTTTTGGTGGGGTTCCCCGGTAAAATTCGCATTCCAGGAGCTAAATATCATGTTTTTAGGGTCGCTTCAACCAGCGGACATGAAAAACAACCCGCGGCAACAGTGTTAAAGTAGCCCAAGTCCGACTTGGCAACCCTGATCCATAGTTGAACAAATGACGCAATGCTAAATTTCTCCAAATCTGTCCCAAAGAAGAAACATACTCATTTACATCTTGGATGGCCCAAATACATTTTCAGTAGTTTCATTTTTGGCTGAACTATTCTTTAAATTTTTGATAAAATGACTGGTATTTTCTGATGCTTTGCTAAAAGGTAGGTAGAATTTGGAGTCAGTTTTGTACATGCTGTCAGTAAATTATTTTTAATACTGTGTATATCTTGCTTTGTTAGCATTTTAATTTGTATAATTGATTATCGCTTTGGTCACACTTGCGAATTTCAGGAACATGAAAACAGGCCAGCTGCTGCAGACTATATACCTGGAAAAGACTTTAACCATGACAAACTGTATGAAGGGATATTGTTACAGAGTAAGTGAGTGTATTGTTCTTGTGTGAGTGTGTGTGTTAGAAGAATGAGTATGTGCCAGTGATAACCCTGTGCTTTCTTTCCTGCAGGGTGTGCTGTGTGTGTTGCTTCAGAATGCAGGAAATGTGTGTGATGATGAGAGTAACACATCTCTTTTTACGCTGATTGCCACAAATCCTCTCACTGGCAAACATATCACACTGACCTCTATCAACTGTCCTGATCAACACAAACAGCAGTAAGATTAGAAGTGATAAATGTTCCAGGATAAGAACACATAATGTTAACAGTAAAGTCGAATTAATGAATGTTTGTCTCATTCTCTAGGTTAATAGATGGTGATGTCTTGGGCTCTGGGATTGTTGGTGTTTTCCAGTCTGGTCATCTTGCGGTTTGGGATCTCAGAGGAAGCGTGGCTAAAGTTGTTGGTGTGTTGGATGAGTTGTGTCGACTAGCCCGCTGGGCAGGGCCAGATATGCTGCTGACTGGATATCTGAATGGAGATGTTAGTGTGTTTCATTATAAATCTACATGAACATCTCTAATGTATGCCAAATGACTTGTGTTACTTGTTAATAAAACAAAAATATGTTGATATGTTGATTAGTGCCATTGTTAAATTTTTTTTACATTATTACACAAGCTGTTTGTTGATTACAGTTAATATAAGCAAAACCAGGGTAATATTTGTACTGTTTGGATGTGATATGTAAAATATATTTTACAAAATAAAACAAATTACTTAAACACTTTTGATGCCTTTAATATTGAGATTAAAGTTTTTAGCTTTGTCCACACACCCCAGCTAATATGTGACACTGGAGCACAAATCCAGTCATAAATAGCACGGGTATTTTTTTTTAGCAATAGCCAACAATACATTGTATGGGTCAAAATTAATAAATGTTTCTTTTATGCCAAAATTCATTAGGATATTAATTAAGATCATGTTCCATGAAAATATTTTGTAAATTTCCTACTATAAATATATCAAGGCCTAATTTTGGATTAGCATGCATTGCTAAGCACTTTATTTGGACAACTTTAAAGGCGATTTTCTCAATATTTTGATTTTTTTTCACCTTCTGATTCCATTTTCAAATAGTTGTATCTCAGCCAAATATTGTCAGATCCTAACAAACAATACATCAATGGGAAGCTTATTCAGCTTTAAGATGTATAAATGTTAATTTAAAAATAAATTGAAAATTATTATGCGTTTGTGGTCCAGGGTCCTAATCATTCCTAATCAGAATTAAACTGAACATTTTATGAAAAAATGTTTTGGATGATTAACTACTGAAACGATTTTGGATATAGATTTCAGTCAAAAGAATAGTAAAGGTCAAAAAGATGACAACTTCGCATTTACAGTTGACACGTATTTTAATCTAAATTGAACAGCTGATGTTGTACATTGACAATTTTCTTTTATTATCACGAAATATAGTATATTTATTGAAAGCTAAACTTCAACATTCATAATTGAAGACAGAGTGTCGCGCATGCGCAGTGGCAGTCTCGTGCATTGTGGGAGCGGATTGAGAAACATGGCGGCGCACATCATTGTCCGGTGTGTCCGATCACTGAACCACCGTATTGTATGTTTTAACCGTATCAATACTGCCGCGACATTAACAGCAGCTCCGCTCACCCATGACCGAACATTTTCACAGCTGATTAATGGACACAAGTCTCCGCTGGCGCAGGTGCGTGTTAGTAATTGACTCGTGACATCCAATGACCTAGCCGTGTCTTTAGTTAGAATAACTTCAACACGATGGACAAACATCATATCAGTATACAGCTACAAAATACTTTTTAACCAACTGACCTGCATGTACAGTTCAGGATAATGTTTCTAAATTAACCTAAGTGTTATCATCTTTATGTAGTATAATAGATCATTAGACTGGTCTGTCTGTTTTGTTTTTTAATTAGCTCTTTTGCTGTAATCAGTTATGATTTACACAGTTATAATGGATTATATACATTATACACATTTTTATACATTACATGACAGTATTAATATCTTTATGATCGTTTAAAGGTGTATTTGTTTTTCGCTGTATATTTATATATTATATATAGTATCATTTCTTTCTTTCACATTGCTATTCAATGACATTTAACAAATATATGATTTACCTCATAATACTCATGTATCATCAGTTATTATTGTTGTTCTGAACCTTCAATTCATTGTTGTTATTGTTTACTAAAATTGTTAAAATCATTAATGTGAATAAAATATAAATGTACAAATGCTAAATGAAAAAAAAAAAAAAAATTAAAAGTAAGGCGTTGGCTGATTGACTATACAAAACTGAATCAATAAATTAAACCCAAATAGAAAGCAAATAACAGGATCATTAAAACCTAAACTAAAATGTAAATAAAAACGTGGAATGTAAAAATAAAAGCTAATTCAAATCACTAATAAATACTATAAATAGTAACACTGCTTCAGATGTCTGTTCAATTTGAAATAGTCCTTGTAAAATGTATTTTTTAAGATGTTTTGTTTTCTTTTGTAGGTCTCCGGCAGTTCATTTCAGGTTTTTCAGTGGAGGCAGTACGGTGACTTGCCCCCATTAACCCTAGAGACTCTCCATGACCGTGTCCTCTACGTCCTGAAGCTCTACGACAAGATCAACCCCGAGAATGTAAATACCCACCTTCTAAATGAAAGAGCCAATCGCTGATTGGTAAAGTCATTGCTCGGGTTCCCATAGAAACCTGAGGCTAGACCAGCCATTGCGCATGTGCAGTCTTAAGCGCATTATGACATGCGCATTGGCTGGTCTAGCCTGAAAAATAAGCTTTTTAAATGCCATTTGAGCATAAGTAATAACATTCATGGTGCAGTTCATTTCAGAATTTGTTGCTGTTGAGTTCAGCGAGCAGTTTTTGAAATTTCTGTATTTCCCCATTCATTTTTAGATAGGACTTGTGCTGCGTTCAAGTCCTCCTGGGACGTTCGTACTTATAAGTTGACAAGTCGTAATTACGACGTCAGGTGCGTTCAAGTCAGTTTAGTCGGCACAAGATGGCGGTGTACCTTCTTTTAATAAATTACAAGAAAATACAACAGGGTCTGTTAACTCTGCTTATAGAAAATGAAGAGCAAAGAATTTGCATCAGGTGTGTTTTGAGTTTTTAATATTTGTAAAAAGTAATTTATGAAGCCACTTTAATCTGTATCGCATAAAAACTTGTTATTAATTGTTATATTACAATCCTGCCACATTCAAAAAGCTTATTTTTTGTAAATAAAAAGCCTGACAATGTCACTGCTTAATACCTATAAGTATTGTGATTTATGTTTTCCAACTAAACTATCAATTTAAACAAAAATTTACCGTCAACTACAGACGTTGCATCCATCGATTCCGCCATGTTTCTCATTGACACGCCCCCAACTCAGAAACTCGGGGCTTAAAGAAAATTTCGAGTTTCCCACTTGTAATAACGACTTTGTGGTGGCGTTCATGTGCGTTCAACTCATAAATACGATCTATCCGACATGACTTGAACGCACCATTGGTCTTGTTTGAGCTGCCCGAGGCGTTGCAAATATGGCTGCCGAGTGAACAGACTTTCCTTGAAAGAGACTTATTATATTATATTATATTAAATGTAAATACTTCATAGTTTTGATCAGATGGACAACATGTTTGGTTGAACTATTTCAAATTAGCTTCAAATATACCATATTCTGCAGATTAACTGTGTTTGATGATAATTTCTTAATAGCTTCAGGCTACGTCTCACTTCATGAAGGATTTGGGATTGGACAGTTTAGACCAGGTGGAGATCATCATGGCCATGGAAGATGAATTTGGTATGTAATTGTATTTACAATTTTTTACAAGTTTATTTTCAAGTGTAATGTTTCTCCCATTATGGCATTTCTTTGTATTTATGTATTCTTTGAATGTATGTAATTTGTTCTTGTTGATGTATAAGGATTACTAGAAACAGATTATTATACCTGGTTATGAATGTGTATCTATCTACCCAGTTGATAAAGTGTTTGCTTTCATGCACAGGTTTTGAAATTCCTGATGCTGATGGAGAGAAGTTGATGACACCACAAGAGATTGTTCAGTACATCGCAGACAAGAAGGATGTTTATGAATGAGCATAAATAATCATTGTGAGTTTACTGTTCACATTACTTTAGTCATTTCGGGTGAACCTTATTATGGACACTTGTTTGTTCTTTCTCATCCAGATAAAGATAATCCCGTCAGATGACAAAGACCATGGAGCTTTTGTCATGAACTGTTTGTTTCTGCTGTTCTTCGTTATTCTTTTTGTATTTAGATACATGTTTAAATCGGTGTTCATAATTTTGTTTGTGGCTGCTTGTGATTTGCAGCTCTGCAGCACTGTCTGCTAGATACATGCACAAGCTCCTCATTCATACAATAAGAGTGTGCAAATAATGTGAATAATTCATATGAATACTACAAAAATAAAGACTTTGAATAAGTTTAAAATACTTTATTTTTGTCTTCAGGTACATTATGAATCTGTGCCAATATGATCAGTCTGTTCATTCATATAACTGCTCAGGGGTTTGTTTTCTTGACATACTTTGTTTTCTGACATTTAAACCATGTACTAAGACAAAATCACAGGGTGCTTAGAAGAATTATGTTTTAATATGAAGTAGTCTGCCATTCAAAAGTTTGGGGTTGGTACGATTATTATGTATGTAATATGTATTTGTTTATTTATTGGAAACATTATGCTAGGTTGTATTCAATTGATCAAATACAGTAAATATGGTTTAATATCATAATTTAAATAACTGTTTTCTATTTTAATATGAAAATGAATTTTCAACACCAATCAGAGTCACATGATCCTTCAGAAATCATTCTAATACGCTGATTTGAAAGAACAGCATTTATTTGAAATAGAAATCTTTTGTATTCATATAAATGCCTTTACTGTAACTTTTGATCAATTTAATGTCCTTGCTAAATAAAAGTATTAATCGTACTGACCCCAAACTTTTAGTAGTGTATAAAACAAGAAACTACTAATTTAAAGGGTTAGTTCACCCAAAAATTACAATTCTGTCATTATTTACTCACCCTCATGTCGTTCCAAACCCGTAAGACCTCTGTGTAATCCGTGCAATCCGTGAGGTGCGGCTGACACAGAACACGCTGTTTGCGTTCAGTGGATATTCTCCAAAATGGCGCTAGGGTGACGCGGAGGAGACGAATTGTTGAATAAAGTCATTATTTTTTTCTTTTTCACACAAAAAGTATTCTCGTAGCTTCGTAAAATGACGGTTGAACCCCTGATGTCACATGGATTATTTTACCGATCTCCTTGCTACGTTTCTGTGCGTTGATCGTGGTAGTACCCTTGCTGTCTATGAGAGGGTCAGAGAGCTCTCAGATTCCATCAAAAATATCTTAATTTGTGTTCCAAAGATGAACGGAGGTCTTACGGGTTTGGAACGACATGAGGGTGACTAATTAATGACATAATTTTTGGGTGAACTATCCCTTTAATAGTTAGGAGCGGCTGTATTTGGTATGTTATAGCACCACCTACTGGAGATTCTTTCCAAGTCTAAAATATTACTGCAAGACTTTTCCAGAGTTGAAGCCAAGAGAGTTTAAACAGGTTATATCAGGAAACATTTATTGTCCAGTACTTAATCTTTACCCCCCTGATGCTAATGCTAATAAAACTAATACAATCTTCCACTAATAACATTTAACTTACCCTAAACAACATTAAGCTGTTGACATTCATTGCAGTGTGGCCTTAAAATAAGTGATACTTTCACATTCTTGTTCACATTTGCACATGGATTCGTTTAATGCCATTTCTTAAGTCTGTGTATTTCAGGATCGGCTCCTCCGCATAAAAGGACTGTGTATTTCCTTCAGAATATTTCAAACATATTACACAGTCATATATCAAAATTTAGGATTTCAGTAAAACTATTTGATTTATGATATATAATTCATTCTTAATTTAGACTTTATAAATAAGCGTTATGTCATTGTCATAACATATTGTTTATTCAGACTTTGAGTTTCAATTTAACCTTCAGCGTACACTCTTAAAAATAAAGGTGCTTCACGATGCCATAGAAGAACCTTTTTGTCTAAATGGTTCCATAAAGAACCTTTAACATCTGAAGAACCTTTCTGTTTCACAAAAGGTTCTTTGTGGCGAAAGAAGGTTCTTCAGGTTATAAAAAGGTAAGAAAGAGATGGTTCTTTAAAGAACCTTTGACTGAATGGTTTCAACCTTTTGAAGCACCTTTATTTTTAAGACTGTAGGGTAAAAGAGAAGAACCTTGGTTTAAGTTAAGTTCAAAAAGGCTTTAATTTTAAAGACACTCCTATCTTATGGACTTAAACCCATGTTTTCTTTGCAGGTGTAATAAATCCTTCTCCCTCCCTCTGTGTTTATGTGTGTGTTAGTATGTCAGTGAACATACCTCTCACTGTGATGATGAGAAGCTAGGGAGGGACGCTCCAGGCATTTCCTCCTGTTTTTGTGTTTGTGAATGTCAGGATTTCTGCGAATTAGCAAAAGGTTAAGCAAAGTTTTAAATGCAGTGAGATTAGAATTGAAAATGAAATTGACTTTTAAGAAATTGTTTGAGTTTTATTTAATGTCAGAATACCTTTTAGTATAGTTCTAGTTTTTACTTTGCTTTACAAATGCAGTGTCTAAAAATCTGAGTTTGTCTAATCTACCCTCACACAAAAGTATTGTGGTAGTATCCCTTCAATTCCTGCACTCAATCCCCTAGAACTGCTGTCTAAAAAGTCATCTCTTGATTTTGAGACGCAGACACTGTGCCAACGATCTCTGAATGACCTTCTGCGTTCATCTATTTTCTAGTTTGAACTGAGAGCACAAGCTCCTCAGAGGAGCGCAAACAAACTCTCTCTATGTCTTCTTTCACACAAACACACACAACCTCGATAAAGAACCTAATCTTGAAATCTCCTCTGTCCCCTTAACGTTTTACCGCTTCCGTCCCATTTTCCCTCTTAAAAAGATGCCTAATCGTAATCATATGTCTGACGATGCCTTGTTTTCTACACCCCTCGGGCGCATACGCACGCGCGAGCTTCATAAATCGAGCTGAGGTGGTTTAACGCGGTTTCTGCGGCGGACTGAGGGATGAACTTCACTCTTCTGTAAAGGTCTTTAAAAAGAAAGAAAACTGATATGAATCCTCGTTACACCTACTTTTTTTGACTAGTTTAATTAGCATATTGTCTGCATCATGTTTTAGAATTGTTAAATATTCTTTATGGAATTAACTGTGGGAACGGATTCCTTCCTGGAAGGTTTTGGCTTGCAAAATGCTTCGTTTTGTGTATCTTTTCTTATTGATTTTCGCTCCAGGTAAGACGACTATTTCATTAATAGACGAGGTATTTACATGGTAAAAACCTTACCTTATGTTTAAACATGTGTCCATTAGCCATATTTTAGATAGTTTATAAAAACTATTTAATATAGTTTTTAAATAGTTTATGTTATGATTCATCTATATCATATCCGTTTTTTAAATGTATCATGGTAATCTTAAAATTTACTGTTGTGGGCCTGATCATAACATGTAGTTACTGAATGTTTATGCACCACAGAATTTACACACGTCAAAAGTACCATGGTACTGCTAGGCTACATTTTGTTGTTGTTGTTTTTGGACATGCACATTCATATTAGGCTACTATGCTATTATTGGAATAAAAGTAGCAACCATAGTGACATCCCTTACAAAAAATACTGTTAAAGTACAAAAGTACTGATACTTTAAAATGTAAAATGGTATTTGGTATATATATGGTAAATGATATATATATATAAAATGGCTACTTTTAAGGTAAAAATATGTAAAGTTTCTTAACTTATTGAAGGTGGTGATGATGATGTTTTCTCTGTAGGTAACACGCTGTTGAACTTGAATCAAGAGTGTGGAGGGAAAATTATTGGAGAGAGGAGCGGCTCAATTCGGTACTCTTTACACCCAAACAGCCTTTTATTTAACAGAATTACCAGTGACAACGCAGAAAAACTGTTGGATGTTATCTGCACTTGGATTATTGATGCTTATGAAAATCAGACTGTTTGGATAGAGGTCATTTCTGTTGGGAAAGGCGCTCGTGTTGGAATTAAATTTGGGAATGGGAATACACTGATCTATGAAAGAGAGGAGCGGGCACTATTCTCTGGCATTGGGAGAACCATCATTGAATGGAGCTTGAGAAGGACTGATGAAACATTTGCCACATTACATCTGAGTAAGTCAATTAAGTACCATGCTAATATCATATTCTTTCAAAAACATTATTTTTGACCAACCCCAAATCCTTAGTGTATGTGAAAAGTATAGGAACAATACCCAGTGAGAAGGTTGTTGTATGTTTGTACATTTCCCTTAGTGTTGGAATCTTTTTTATTATTGGAGAAATATATGCAATACAGATAGTCTTGGCAAAAATCAAAAGATCCTCCATATTTTCCTTATTCATACAAAGTTAAACAAAAAGGTTATCTTCCTTCTGCAGTTATTAAGTATAAATACATATGAAAATACATGAATGCAGTGTTCTTAGTTAGTGTTGGAATCTTGTGTCTTGAATAATCTCATAATTCCTGTTTCCATTCATCATTGTGTGTGTGTTTTTCTCAGGATGGAACACGTCAGAGGACAGTCACACTCTTGCTTTGATTCCTTACACCCACTCTGTTGCTGACCCGGTGTCTCCCTTTCCGAATGGCTCAAACGATGTAACTTACACTCCTAACATTTCAGTGAGCAGCAATGCAGCCCACAAAACACACACTCTCATGGGTGAGAGTATGCAGCAGGGCGGAGGTGTGTCTGACCTGGACGATAAGCGCAGACCTCTATTTCCGCAGGAAATCACCAACAATGGACAGGAAACGGCTGGAGCCTGGATCTCCGACCTCGCACTCGCTGGCACACATTCTTATTCTGATACACAGAGCAGCTCTGCCCTTGACACACACATGAACACGCATACAATGTTGTCTAATGAACCTTCTTTGATGCAGTCTTCTACTGAAATCCAATCACCATTGGTGTCTGTACAAACTACACCCAAACAGGCAACTGATGTGGCAAAAACAAGTGCACTTTTAACCACAAATGATGTTGCACACACTGAACTACATATAGGAAGTTCACAGCACACACATACACATTCATTTACCAAAATACAGCCCAAAACGACAAAAAGAGATAATCCAAGTTCAATGTTTCCAACTTCCAGCTTTATGACTGTAAGTCCGCATTATATTCAGCCATTCAACAAAACTTCTAAACACTTTCTTAGTGGCAGTTCTTACAAGTCTAAAGCAACCACGGTGACGCTTCCAAATAGAGATGGGTTTACAATATCAGAGAATGCTGGGAAGAGTCGATTTGATTCGATTTTTTGGAGTTCAAACACAATTACAGATGACAACCAACATA